TTGCGCGCCCTAGCTTCATGCTCGCTAAAACACTCGCGCACATGTTAGACTCCTTGGTCCGTGTTTCAAGACGGGCCGTTTGCAGCCCTGTCGCCAGCATCTCCCCGGTGGTGTGCGCCAAGCGGCAAGCGCAACATTCCCAACACCGCCCGCACACACTCTGTCAACAGCACAAGAGAACGAGTCTCCCATCCCAAAACAAGAGTCTGCGCAACACAATGCCGAAAACAGCACCCATGCCAAAGACCACATAACAAAGCCACCGCATCGATAATTTCCTCAGTCCCGTGTGCGACAGAAAGACAAAAAGCAGATGCGCCACGCACAAGGGCGCCCTCGCATCGCCGTCTCTCACACACAAAACTCATGCTGGCAGACACGCCCCGCGAGTGCAGGCAGCGCAGCACACAACAACAGCAACGCAGCGGCGCATATGTGCAACAAGTACACACAATACACCCCCCGCACCACTGTTATGCACCACACCAAAAGCCCTGATCACAAGGCGCGCCCAGTCTCTGCTAGCTGCAAGCGATTCTCTGTCAACGGTTTCACGTACTGTTTAACTCTCTTTTCAAAGTGCTTTTCATCTTTCCCTCACGGTACTTGTTCGCTATCGGTCTCGTGCCAGTATTTAGCCTTGGATGCAGTTTACCACCCGGCTTTGGGCTGCATTCCCAAACAACCCGACTCAACAGAATAAACGGACCACACACCGCACATCAGCGCAAATAATGTAGCACCAACGGGACTCTCACCCTCTCCGGTGTCCTCTTCCAAGGAAACTCGGTGCTGCGCCAAACAACAATGCACAACAAAAGCTGTGCACCATCACAAAGACATGCGACGGCCCGCATCCCATAAAGACTACAACTCGCCACAAGCAAGAAGCTTGTGGAGATTCCAATGCTTGAGCTCTTCCCGCTTCACTCGCCGTTACTGAGGGAATCCTTGTTAGTTTCTCTTCCTCCCCTTAGTGATATGCTTAAGTTCAGGGGGTACCCTTGCCTGACCTGAGGTCAACAGAAAAAAGTGAAGTGAGTGGAGGGGGAAGGGGGTTTGAGAGAGACAAAGAGAAGTGGAGTGAGGTGGATGGATGCAGATGTCTGTGCGCGTAGTCTGCAACAAGTGCAGTGCAGTGCACACAAACAATGCTCCGTCCATCACAATTCCAGCTTTCCTCTCTCTCTCTCACACATTCCCTCTCTTCTTCATCAGTGTTTTTGCTCACATGACCAGTGTCACAAAAGCCACATAAAGATGCAAGCACACAAGTGCACATGCCTCTTCACACACATACACAGCATACACACCCTGCAGAACAACGATGCCAGTTGACACATCGCTCCACAGCTTGGTGTATCCTGCTGCATATGCAGATACAGCATGCTCGTGCTTGCCGTGGTCTCGCAACAACGGCACCCACACAGCGACACTGAGTGATGACAACAGTATGAGAATAAAGAAGTGGGATGTGTGTGTGAGTGAATCACATCAACAACAACAACACAACGCACAAGGCATCGTATCATCGTGCAATGCAATCCACATGCTCACACACACAAACACCCACTCCTTTCTTCGTCACAGTCACCATCACAGTTATCATCGCAATGGAGTCGTAAGCTCTCCTCTTCAGGGTCCAGTCTCACACAATACACACACACAGCAAAAATGTGTGTGTGCACGCATCGACTAACACCCCATGGCCACCAACAATGCACAGTGTGCAATGAGACGTGAGTACGAGTGCATGCATGGGCGCTTCTTCATACTGCTCCAAGCAACAAACAAACACCACACCAGCAAAGGTGCGATGCTGCTGCTGCTGCTTAGTTGCAGGTAATCAAATACACCCACACACACACACACTCACACCCTCATAAGCACACAAAAACGCATTGTCAATGAGATTGAGTGGCGACACTCAGGCAGACATGCCCGCACGCACAGACACGCACACAATGGCGCATGCCCACACACACAGGCGCAATGTGCGTTCGAAGATTCAATGATTCACGGAATTCTGCCGCCCACGCGCCAATCCCGAGGCCTCACTAAACCATTCAATCGGTAGTAGAGCGACGGGATCCACCGTTGAAAGTTGTCTCATGGTTATTAATTTTGGTTGTGGTGAATGAGATGTTGAGATTGAAGTGAGCAGTGGATGCAGTGCGTGTTTGTGTATGTGTATGCATTCCGACGCACAATGTTTGTTGGAAGGTTCACACTGAAAACACAGACTTCACAGCAATCTCTCACTACATTTCTCGTCACTGACTCGTTTGTGGATTTGATGCACGAACCAAGAGATCCACCGTTGACGGTTGACACATGGCTATGATTTCTGGTGGTGCAGCATGAGATGC